ATGTACCTATCTAATGAATATGTGAATCACACGCTTACACGTAGTATGTACGCTATGGCTCACATCGACAGTGCTCAGCGTATGTTTATATGTTGTATACTATAAATAATTTTTGAAAAATATATGTAAAATGAAAATGTTATGAAACTGAAAAGAATCGTTACGCTTTTTGTTGGGCCCCCACCATGAGAGACCGTGGGCGGCGAGTAGGATTGCCATCCCACCCTTAGCTACAGTACCTCGCTGTTAATCGATATTTTCTCAATAAAAAAGAACTCCTTTGCTTCCAGCTTCCTGAAAAAGGCGGCCGGAAGTGGGTCAAGGCGAGGCTGAGGTCACAGATTGATCCCGAGATTTATTCGATTTTCTTCCCTACACACCGGGATACTCCCTTTAATCGATCTGCCGAGCCCCTAGGAGGAAAAACCCCGTTGAAGGATGTTTTCAGTGAAAAATTCGAAGTCAATTAAGAACCTCACGCACAACGACGTTTAACGTTTTCTTCGTAGTGGGCGTATTATGAAGGAAGTCCGCAATTGCATCCGCTTAAACAGGAGTCAAAATGTCAAAACGCACGAATTATCTTTATAATTTTCCTTTTGAACTATTCTTCAAACATTTCCCCAACACTCAAAAACAAAACAAAAATTATAGTTCATATGCAAAATTTTAACTTTATACATGTCTTGCGATGATGAAAATCCTATCACTTTACTTTATCATTATGGCTAATCTGAAGACAGATTTTGTAGATGGTTAAAGATTGGCAAACAAACAGTACCACTGAAAAGCTTAAGTTGTTCTCATCCTTCAGGCACTCTACCAGATATGTTTACGACAAGTTTATGATTTAGGGAGAAAGCCATTAAATCTGGAATACTCCTCGCCATGCTGTTTTCAGCTTTGAATAAAATATTCGACATTCTGAAGTTCGAGCTTTTTCAGGCAGGGGCAAAACGTGTAAAAGTTGTCGAAGCCTTATAATATTTGATAGCAAGTGTTTGGAGGAAAATCCCGATGTAGAAGGCCATACCAAATGGGCTCCCTTAATCGATTTAGGCTCTCGAACCCAGTCGAAAACAGAAGTTTCGTTTGCTTATTATATCTGTTCTAGCCCACGAGCAATATTTCCGTCCTACACCCCTTCTTCTTTACGGCCTTTTGTCATTTTTATTTATGGGAATTTGTTTCCTGAGAAATGTGACATTCCATCCACGTTCGTACATTGATTACTCAGCTACTACTCGTTTTTACTGTGGTGTTAGGCATCTAGTGTAATTGTGAAGTCAGATGATAGGTTCATCGCTTTAAACATAAATTATCTTAAATAAATTATCAACCTCGATATAGAATGTACTGGTACTGTTTTGCCGTTTTTGTCTTATCAGTAGAGTTTCCGCATTTTCGTTATTTCGAGTTTTGGGTTTGTATGTTTAATCGTAGACTTTGCCCCCAAACCGAAATAAGTACAGACCTTAGAGAGAGAAATTCAATATCCCTACGTTACTGGAATAAGTTTCCATTTTTCGGTATGTCGATGTCCATTATAGTTAAAAGCTTTTCTTCTTTCACATTTCTTGTACTAAATACGAAGTACGACTTTGACATCTCAGAATTTGACATAACTCCAAGAGTCGTAGTTTATTGGGTTAATTTTTACTTTGATAGACGACTTTTGGAAATATGTCAAATGCTTAGATGTCAACTAGAACAGATTACAACATTTAAAGAAACTCCTAAGCCTAATTTTAGTATACAGTTTATTCATTTAAATTTATAAGGGTACTTTTTTAGAACAAATTATTGAGACTAATTTGTTTTTGTTTTTAATTTTTTTTAATAATAATAAAAAACGGAATGGTTTTTTAACAGATTATTTTTATTCTTTTATTTATTTATTTATTTATTTATTTATTTATTATTTTTGAGACTAATTTGTTTTTGTTTTTAAATCCATTATATTTAGTGTCTATTGACCAAATTACTTCTTTCAATTAATTAATCTTTTTATGTAAGATTTTTGGTTGAAATGTTTTGTTTTTAAATTTGTTGTTTTTTGTTAAAAATGGAATTGTTTATTAACAAATTTTTATTTTATTTTTTTTTATTATTCTTTTATTTATTTACTTTTTTATTTATTTATTTTTTTTTTTTTTTTGCTGGCTAACTGCTAAGAATATCTCACTTTTTTTACTCATTACTAGTATAAGTGCTATCATTTATACCCAACCCTTCCACACGTTACTGTATGATGATAATTCATTTGATTCATTATTATTTTATGTAAGGTCTTGGTTGAAATGAAAAGAATAATTAATTGAAAAAAGTAATTTGGTCAATCAAACCATTAAACATAATGGATTTCATACATTGCTACGTCTACACTTTCACGTTGTCAAAGAACTGGGTCTAACCCTTAAAAATAATATAAAACATACAATCTAAACAAAACTACTCTTAAAAATCCAGCACGGTAATGCCCTCATATACAGGGTGAGCGACCAAGACCCGAGGGGTTAAATGCCTGGGTAGTCTCATACCCCAATCAGGATGTTCATAACCTCAGTGTCTTCCCATCATTCATGCTAATAAATACATTCATAGAGAGTAGAATCTTTCAAGTCGTAATTATGTACAAATAAAATATGGGTAATCGCCATCAATTTAATATTACTCAGTGACTGACCCGCCTATCACAGTGTGTTCTTCATACATAATACTAACTAATCGACGGATCTATATGGTACTATATTCTGCCACACACACACATACATTTTTGTATTACACCAGTGCCTTTTATACTATAACGTAGGTTACTTGACCAGTTTCTGCGGTACTCTATATTCCATCTATGACTCAGTCTCACACATGGGCAAGCACAACCATTTCCACCAATAGATACAGCCAAGTGAAGGCTTTGTATGAAGGGGTTCGTGCAACCGTAAACTTGTATTAACTTCAGGTGTTCAAATGATGTAATAATGTAGGGCCTATTTTTCTGTCATTGGAGGATATTTTGCACTTTCAACTTTATTCGTGCAGAATTCAGTCAGATATTATGTTTGGTACTGAATCTTTCTTCATATAGTGGACACCGCTTCTGTCTTTCGTCAGTAAGGAGGTACCCCTGGGTTAACCGGGTATGGCCAATCCTCAGGCATGTTCACACTATTCTATCCCTTTAAGATTCTCTCCCACGGTTTCACCATGCATTATTATCTCGCATTACCTTTTAACTTTTTGATCTTAGTCATCTGGCGCGTTTGCCAATTATACAAACTGATTTTTTTTCATCTCATCACTCAATTTATATAAATTACGGAACTGTTGGTATTATTTAAAAAAATTGATTTAGGAATGATGATACACATTTCTGACTTATTTAGGTATAGTTTTATTTCTTCTTATTATTTAGAATTTTAGAAATCATTTGAATAGAGTAAGTAAAACATTTTTAATTATGGAATTTTTTAAACAGATCACAACTAGGTATGTACATATCACGTGGAATCCCTTTAAAGAAATGGGTGTTCAGTGGGGCGTTTCAAGGGGTGTCAATGGCCGCAACAGTTGGAAGATTGTTGCAACAATTATCGCTAGATTATCACATTGGTTTGAATCTCAGAACTCTTGATATTGAATCCACAATACTTCCAAAATGGGAATTTTTCAGTAAGAAACATGGTTGAAAGTATCCTTTACAGTTGTGGACCTCAGGAAAAAAAGCAGTTGTAAATCATACAAAACCAAGCTTCAAATTATCTTCCCTTCAAATCCTGCTATACTTTTGGGATATACCAATTATCTGGAGACAATTTTGCATAAAGTTCACCTATTTAAAGGATAGATGAATAACAACAATACTAGTTGTCTCTAGGAAGGTTCTTAACGATGTGCATTGTTTTAGTTTGTCGTTGATCCATTCATTTACTTTTCTACGAGCCTTTTCATTGAATCCAGTTTGGGAGAAACTTATGCATATTATGGTGCATCATTTGAACATATATAAATCACACAGTCATTTTTACGAAGTCCTTGGCAAAAGTGTGCAAAAAATTGGTCGAGACCTAGAGAGAACTAAGCAATCATATAGCCCTAAAATTTAAGCCAGGTTTTTGTTATTATTGAGGGGTTTCAGTTCATATTTTTCTTATTTATTTGACACAGTTATTATTGTTGTTGTAACAACATTGTTGTAAATGTTTATTGCTTTATTTTGGAGGGGAAAAACACGATGTTCTACTCATACTCTTTGTCAGAATAAAAACAAGATAATTTCACATTTTATACGACTAGATAAGATTTTCTTGAAACAGATATTTACTCAGATTGTCCGACTTCAATTATAGGTTTGTGAATTTGGAACTTTTAAGGAGGGAGTGTAGCCTTGCACTTTTCTTATTTGCAAAATACTGTTTACCAGGGACATGCATGGTCGTGGCCTTGTATTGAATAATAATAATTTGACTGAATGTCTAAACGCTGGTTGTGTTTGTACATTACGGCTGTTTCTTCACGACATGCAGTGAAGTGGCAGATGACAACGCCAATTGGTCGCTTAACACGCAACCCTTATGGAAGTGTCATCTTCTTTTAATGAAAGTCTCAGTTCATAAAGCAAATGCAATCCCAACTCACTTGGCACTGATTAGAGAGTATGCTGTTGTCTATACAATGATGAAAACCAGATGTGTGTTGATCGTTCTCATTTACCATCAGTGTTTCAAATTGAGTCATTAAACGGTGGCTGAAAAGCTTTTTATGCAATGTACTTGTGGTGAGTGCCATTCCTCATAAAACACATTTATTTTGATGCAGAAGGGATTTTCTAACATTTTAAAAACAATTAAACAAAAATATAGATTGTGAGAAATTAAACACACATAAAAATGTTCATTTTATTATTAAACACGAAATATTAATCATTAAATTATATTAAATTAAATTATGAATGAAATGTATCTCATGAATTCTAATGTTATTTAATTATTTTATTGCAGTGAGCAGAGCATAGCGTCTGCCAGAGCATCTGTGATGGTCTATGATGACACAACCAAAAAATGGATACCTTCAGGAACTACTTCAGGGCTTTCAAAAGTGCATATATTCCAAAATCAAGCCAACAACACATTCAGAGTTGTTGCAAGGAAGCTTAATGACCATGAGGTTAGTTTTATATTTTAAAAATCATAAAATTCCTTAGATTGTGTAAAATGAAACCAACATAAAAAGTGACCTTTAAATCTTTTCAGTTTATTTATTTCCATTATAAAAGGTATATTATCTGTGCTGTTGCATGTAAAAAATGCAATAAATGTCTTTCATTTAAATAATATTGTTCTGGGTACATCCATACTTTTTTTTAAATTGATTTTTAGCTTTGTGACTTTCATATCAGCCAGAGTAAGTTCGATGATGAATTGATGATATATAGTTTTGGGGGAAGGGAGCGCAAATTCCAGGGACGATGGTGAGAACTGAACCCATGACTGCTGGGTCTTCGAGCCGAGTCTTTTGCGCTACCCACATGGCTACTGTTATTCCCAGAAATTCAAGGAGTTCAAAAAATTAACAAATATGATTTTAATATTTTGCTAATTTTTCCAATGTTCTGTAATCTTCTCATAAACTACAAAAGAACGACTCGAGTTTAAATTTCTTGAATAGTTTATTAACCAAAATTCAAATGTTTCAACTATTTAAATGGCAGACATGCACTACACGCAAGTTTTACCTGTTTGCAAATATTAAATATCATGATAGTATTGATTATTGTTTATTTCAGGTTGTGATAAACTGCGTTATACTTAAAGGATTAAAATACAACCAAGCCACTCCCACGTTTCACCAATGGAGGGACAACAAGCAAGTTTATGGCCTTAATTTTAGTTGTAGAGAAGATGCTGATGCATTTGCACGAGCAATGACCTACGTATTAGATGTAAGTGGCTATTTAAAACTTTTACCAAGAATTATTCAGTTCGTTTTAATTGAATGATAAACATATGTTGGGTACAATGTTATTGTGCAGATTGCCAAATTGATTTGAAAGGAACTTCTCTAGAGTTGAAACAGTCATTTTTTTCAGTTATTATGATTTGACTCAGTGAGTGTTTGTAAAGAGTAGACAACATGCATTTATTTGTAGGTTTTAAACAGCAATTCTTTACCGCGACCTCCACCTCAGGCAATGACACAGCAGCCTCAGTCTCACTACCAGCAGGCGAATGGGCAATACGATGAGGATATGGGCTACAGGTAATCAATTAAAATTCCTCTTGAAAATTTAAAATTGCGAAAACATTAGTATAAACTTGGCATGCTTTTCCAAGGGCATGTTTGGGTTTTAGAATAAGTCAAATGTAGTACAAATACTGTGCATTTTATAGCTCTATGGTATTTAGTTTCTTTTGGGTTTTTGGTTTAGTAGTCAGATGATTCAGTGGCCTAATATTTATCACCAAGTATCAACGGGAGGACCCACTCGGATAGACCTGAGCCCAATTTCACATTCAAGGTGAGTTATCCTAGGGTTAAATATGTATAACTGTAGCAATTGTTTTGCCGGCTTTGCACCAAAACACGGTAAATAGCATAGAGTAAAATTTATTAAATGTAAAAAGGATTTTCATTGGAAACAAACGAAAAGCACTGCAAGATGGGAAAGCCAATTTACACACTAATTGGGTATTTGGTATTTTATTTATGGTTCAGCTCCCAACTGATAGATTCTAATCACTAAATAGGACAACTGATGGCTAGGGAACCACCACCTCAATGCTTGAAAGGCGGTGGTGAGGCAATTGCTTTTGTCTTTACAAATCTAGTACAGTTTTTTTTGGATAGCTTGTAAATTCTGGGTGTCTGTCGAGAGACATCAGATAGATTAATGGAATTCTTGTCTGAGGAGGAATCGCTGAATTTTTTTAACTTAATGTAATCAACAGAATAACTTAAAATAATTTAGGCAGCCTTAATCCCAGTGGTTTGTAGAGTCTTATAAAGGTCCAATGTTTGTAAGGATAGGTGAAAAATAAAAACTTCCACCTGTCAAGACGATTTTATCCCAAAGCTTCTTTAAAAATTAATTTAAGAACCCTCATCAGTCTTATTTGAGTGAAATATCAGTTAGAAAAAATAAAACTTGGAAAAAAAAGAGAATTCTTACTGCAGTTCTGGCCAGGGTCGCATTCTTTTATATGCATCTACTTTTTGGAGTTCCCCCACCAATGGATACCAGGAACTGGAGGAGTTCCCTCCTGAGCACTGCAGCTGCACAGCTTATTGTACTTTATCCCTGGCTCCATTTTTCAGGGGCTCGCAACACAAGTGTGAATTTGAGCCCCCGGTGTGCCAGTGTACGTCCATTGAAGAAAATCATTTTTGAAGGGGGTTGGGACCAAATTCAGGATCGCTGAGATCTGATCCCGCTCCTTCCTTTGATGAGCGCCTTGTCAATTTCTTTTAATTGCGGCCACCGGTCCCCTAAGGCGTAAGAAAAAATCCAGAGGCGACGATGAGAATCGAACCCACAATTGCGGGATCTACTAGCCGAGAGTCTGATGCCTTAACCACTCAGTTACCGCGGCCCCCTCAGGAGTTAGTATTAATGAAATAGACTTTTACTGCAAGAAAAAATTGAAATATAAGTTTTGCCTTGACAGTTTGTACACTTGGATTAATATTAATCATTTAAAAATGTGTGTATGCTTTTAAGAAAAATATATGCAATGGTTTATCATAATGCAACACATTTTGGAAGGGAGATAGCATTAAGGTAATATGAGACGAGGTTAAAACGTTTATGGCTATATTACCTATTAAAAATGTGTGTTGCATTAAGTTGAGGTGTTAGTTCCTGCTCGTTCTATGAACCCGTCTCGACACTTTTTTCCTTGTTTTATGCTATACTATGAAACAAAAGAGACATTTATTCCTTATTTTATAAAGATTTTGTTTGCTTTCTAAACTGATCAGTTGTGGACAAGCTCAAACAACAACCCATTCACCTCCAAGCTTGATCCAACATTTTTATTAGATCCATTATATTGACCAAATATCTTCTTTCAATTAATTAATCTATTTATGTAAGGTATTGGTTGAAATGAAAAAGTTAGTGTCACGAGCGGGATTCGAACCCACGACCTTCGGCTTGATATACCACTGCTCTAACCACTTGGGCTGTTGTGACCTCGATTCACTCGGACACCAACTCATGACACTAACTTTTTCATTTTAAACAATACTTTACATAAAAAGATTAATTAATTGAAAGAAGTTATTTGGCAATCAGACCATGAAATATAATGGATTTAATAAGTAAAACAATATCTCACTAAAGCTCCCCGTGGCCACTTCACATGTCGCCAAGAATCGAATCCTGATTACACGACATTTGAAAAATGGCAAAAAGGAGGGAAAATTCAAAAGGTAGGTTGAAATTGGGAGTTGGTTGTTGTTAGGACTCAAGTGGTTGTAGCAGCGGTGTGTTGAGCGAGGGTCATGGGTTCAAATCCCGCTCCTGGCACTAACTTTTTTCATTTCAACCAATACCTTATATAAAAAGATTAATTTTTATTAGACTGGAATAGCTGCATGCTTAGTTGTGTATTTGCGTTTAAAAAGTTGTCGTAATAGTATATGTAATTTTTTGAGCTGGGCAGACATGAAGTTGAAATGCATGCTCGTTTTTCTTATCCGCACATATATCTGAGCAGATAATTTCGTATGTTTGAATGATTGTGGTAAGCTTTATGTAATATTGTAAAATGTCTGTACAAAGAAGAAAATAATGACAAATTGCAATGCGACAAGTAGATACTGTTAATTATCTTGTATGGCTATTTACAAAAAATGGTAAGTTTTATTTTGTATATATTTATCCTTAAAAGCACACAAAGACAAAAAAAGACTTGTATTTGTTTCTTTTCCATAATAACTAAATATAAAGGTTAATTGTTGGCTTATGAGAGCTTATGGCTTGACATTAATGACTTATTTACCCTTATAGAGTGTTTCCTTTTATACTCGTTAGACTTAAAAAAAATAAAATAAAAAATAAAAAACAGTTGATTTTCATCTTTTCTACAGCCAACTTATTGAGTGAGTTGGTTTTTTAATTTTTTTCTTTGATAAAACAATAAATTTGAGTAAAATATTAATTCAAGATCTCACCTGGGCAGATGGTTTGGTCAACAACGGGTATAGTCTACATTAATAACCTAAGTCCTGGGTGGCGATCATCTACGATGGTCTACAGCGAGTTAGGGTCACCATAAGTCTCAATTGAAGATAAAATAGTGATCGACCGCAATGTACAACGGTTAGAGACAATCATTTTATTGCTCTTACTGCATTATGGAACCGTCATATATCTGCTTCCTTGATCGGTAGTCAAATCTAAATGATCGTAATATAAGGGTGAGACTCTTGTTGAAGAATGGGATTCTGTTTTACAAGACAAAATCTGCTGCTCGTGAGAAGTGGTAACACGCGTTATTAAGAGCAAAACCAGGTAATAAATTGTTAGGTAAATTTTATTTTACCAAAACCATCACAATAATTTAATTTTTATTAAAACTAATGAAATTCTGATCTCGATTAATTTGGTCATTAAAATAATTCTACTATAATTAATATTATGATAAAAATATATATAATATGAAAAAAAAAAAAAAATACGAGGGTCTGGTTTTTGTCTTTGAGTGTTTATTTTACATGATGCACCGTAACTACTGAATATGATTATTTTAAAAAAATTGTTGAGTGACTCAGTTGCTAGGAAAATTGTACTTGGTTTGATTTAACGGGCGAGTCATGCAAAAACGGTTTCTCACAATTGTTTTTTTTCCCCTTCTCACAGCTCTTGTATTAGAGGAGAGTGAAATGTTACATATCAACCTGCAAATGGGTCATGCTGGACATTGAACAGCCTTTATCACTAATCATTCACTTCCAATTGAAATATTCAACCTCGATCGAGTTTTAATTGCAATTATATATTTTCAGAACAATGACAAGGGAAGATGTAGCAAACATACAAGAGAGGAGGATGTCACAACAGTCCCAGAGTAAGTGTCTTCAATTATGATTCGGTATTTTCTGCTTCCACGATTCTTTTGTTGATTAGATGAATTCAAATGTAGTTAATAAAATAGTTTTTAAAAAGATCAATAAATAAATAAAAACATTCAGATTGATTCATTACTTTGTGGTTGGGTATATTGTGTTATTCAAGTTTGTATTGTTAATTTAATGAAAATTTAAATAAGCAGATTTATTGCTATTCATTAGGTCATTTATGACCTATAAAAAATGTTAATATAAACTTTTTTTTATGTTTTAATTTTTTAGTGCATTATTATTTCATATTATTTGATTTTTTTTTAAATTGTATAAATGGAGAGGGCATTAAAGTATAATTTAGTCATGCTCATCGTGTTAATGAATCGGCCGTGTTGTTAATACCTGACTCAGTGACAGTCCTCACAAAGGCAATGGGATATGAAGTCAAGGCTGCTTACCATTTTATCCGGGAAGAATGGCCTGCTATAGCAGTGAGGTTTAGTGACCATTGAAAATTTTTAGGAAGTACACTTGGTATTGTGAGGGACAATCACCCAACAATTCACAGTACCCGAACTATTTGACCATAATAGAAGTGCCTCATATAGTACTAGCAATTTTTTAAACTACCTTTCATTCTATTTGATGGCTTTATTTATGTTTCTTTCACTTTTAGTATCACAAACTCACTCCTAGTTAAATTATTCTGACTATTACATATTTATTTATTTTTCGTGCTTTCTGTTATTTAACATTCATATCTTATACAACATTCAGTGGTTCCAACCAAATGGACGAAGCTGGTGAGGTTCATGGTATGATTAAACCAAAAAAAGTTCTTTTGCATGAAACTATTTTACTGTTAATTATAATTGAGTTTTCATCTCAGTAAAGTATTGCAATATTTAATAATTTACTATTTATGATTAGCCATGTCTAAAACTAATCAAACATCCTTTAGTTTTGTAAATATTATTAAGTTTCAATATGTTTTTCAGTATCAAACAACGGGAATGCTTGTTCACCTTCAGGTGTCCCAGTCCCGCCAACACCGCCTGGCCACCACAGAACCTCTTCAGCTCCACCTGCACCTCAACCGCCGCCGATGTCGTTAGCACCGCCGCCACCTCCCGCACCGCCCAGTGCCCCTCCTTGTCCTCCGATGGGACCCCCACCACCGGGGATGCCACCCGCAGTTGTGCCGGCAGGCGCTGCACCGCCACCGCCTCCTCCACCACCACAGCCCAACATGTCCAGGTCGTCGAGCAACGATGGCCAGGACAGTTCTTCCCTTGCCGCTCAATTGCAAAGTGCCAGACTTAGAAGATCAAACAAGGTAAATGACTTGAACGTAATAATGTTATTTTAGCATAAATTAATGAATGTATTGTGACGTTAAAAACTGAATGATATTAGAGTTCATGTTTTAATGCTGCAATCAATATTCATATAGTGCCCTGTAGTTTTCACACGTACTAACACAATCATATCATTGGAACTGAATGAATTAGCTCTTGAAAAATTAAAATAATAAATCAAATTTGACAATTTCTTGATTTGAACATATTTTCTGGAAACATGATGCATTGATCATTGTGGGATCGGAAATTTGTGTTCATAGCATAGCACTATAGATTCAAATCCAAGGTTTGACCCTGGAATTTTATGATTTTGTCATTAAATAAATACACATAATAAATTTTACAGGCTGTGTTAAAATTTAAATGAATTAATTACATCTGTCTCCCTGTTATTTAATAGAATGATTAAGTTCTATAAGTTCTACAGTTATTTTTAAAATAGATTCTTATTTCTTATAGTCTTATTTATGCTCAAATCTGTGCAGAGTTGAGTCCTTTACGATAAATTGCCGGCAGACCTTGAGATTCACACATCCCTCACGTATTGGCTGTCAGGGCTCCAGGGACTATCATCAGCTAGGTTTAGCTATTTTAGTCCCCAATGCAATAATTTTAATCCTATGCCATTCAGAGTGGTGGAGTACTCAATATTCCTCCATCACCTTTTAAACGTCAAGGTTCGATAGTTCCTCAATATTGGTTGATGGGTACTCAATATTGTGCCATTGATCCTCACACTAATAAATACATTCTTTCACAACATACCACAAAAAAACTCAAAACAAGATATCTACAAAGTATTATGTGTTGTAAAACAGCCGTTTTTTTTTTCTCCATATTTTGGGGGAGGGCTCGCAACACAAATGTGAATTTGAGCCCCCGTTGTACCGGTGTTCTTCCATCGAAGAGACTCATTTTTGAGGGGGGTTGGGACCAAATTCAGGGTCGCTGAGATCCAATCCCGCCCCTTCCATTGATGAGTGCCGTGTCAATTTCTTTCAATTGCGGCCACCGATCCCCTTAGGTGCCAGAAAAAGTCCAGAGGCAACGGTGGGGATCGAACCCATGACCGCGGGATCTACTAGCCAAGAGTCTGACGCCTTTAACCACTTGGCTACCGTGGTCCCCTACATACATCTTGATACATCAGAGCTTCTCTACCAGCCCACCAACGCTGCCACATTCTTTTAATATGTTTTTTATTGCATTTTAACAACAGAGGAACGGATCACAGTGGGTAAGTTCAGAGATTGGGAGGTCCCGGCCTTGTTTAATTTATTTATATATTTTTTTAATAAAAATATATTTATTTGTTTTTTAAATAGAAGGATTAGCATTGAGAAAACAAAATTACATTGACTAGCTGTTTGTTATGTTGATTTTTTTAACACACAAAAATTAAGATAAATTTCTGGAAACTATAATCGTTTTCATTTCAGCTGATATAATTTAAAAAATCAATTTATAATAGGAAATTGGGTCGTCAGTGGCCGTAATGGTTAAGGCCACTCCACACTACTTCATCAAATTATAGATTAAAGCGTTAATCTGTGGTATTTGCAGACCTTTAAATGTCACGGTTTACCACAAATGTCAATTGAAATTTGTAAGGAATTCTATTGACATTTTCACACTTACTATATGCTCATTTTCTCCCTTTGAATTGCATCAGATAGCCCCTCTTCTAAAAATAGTCCACCTTTCCAATTGGACCTAATTAACTTTTTCACGGTGGTAGGGTTTGAATTTATCTCTCACATAATAATTCTGCCTGTAGCAATCTGCTGAGAACAGTGGCTCAAGCACATCAAGTAGCGGTAGCAATTATGGGACTCTTGGTAGAGGTGGATCGGGAATGGCGAGCATGATGGACGAAATGGCCAAGACGCTCGCCAGAAGGAGGGCTGCTGCGGAAAAGAAAGAAGTCGAACCCAGCCCACAGGTATGCATTTTGATTGACCTTTTCACGGAATATTTTGAATTGAGACAGGAAATGTTCCAGGAGCCTGATTATGGAACAGCCGAGAGAAAAACCTGGGGAAGTGGTAATAAACTCGGCAACGGCTGTGAAGCATCTCCGAAACCGTCGAGAAGAGCATTGGCTTCGAGTGAAGAGTCCCTCCCAAAAGTGAACGGAGACGCCGGTTTGTCTGAACTGGAAGCCATAAAGCAAGATATCTTAAGAGAAATGAGGAGGGAAATAAACAAAATGAAATCAGATATCATTGAAGGTATTCATTCTGTCTAATCAATTGAACACAATTTTACACCTCTCTCTCACCACTGCCAAAGTCAATTTGGATTCATTCTGCTTCGGTTTTCATTCTATGAAAACTGTCGGAGTAACCCGCAAAACTTGACATGGCTGAAAAAATCATGCTGATTCCCCAGTGACATCTGACATCTCAATTAAGTTCATTACGGTTATTCGCATTTCATACTCAGTACCTGCACCAATGGAGTTCAAGTTTGGTCAGATAAAACAGATTATAAATTACTTTGTTTCAAAACAGAGCCCTGAATTCCACTTTTCCTTTTTATTATAAATAACATTTTTTATAATGATGTTTTTTTTTGTTTTTTCAGCCATTAAGACTGAGTTGAACAGGAGGTAATGGACTAATTAAAAACAAAACCTATGAAACAAGACCACAAATCAACCACAGACTGATTTAAACTCTAAAATGCTTACAACTGTCAAGAGTTTCAGACAGTTATTTCTTTGGAGAAGAAAGGAGAGCCTATACCGAGGAAAGACTTTTTATATTTTATTAACGATTAATTTATTTGAACATGGAACAAATTTTAATCAAAGCGCAACAAAATGAAATCGCTTTTATGTAATTGGCTCGAACAGCATGTATTAAAAAATTATTACCTCCCCTCAGTTCATTTAGTAATTTTTATAGTCATCAAAAAGTCAGATTTCTCAACTTTCCTCATTCACTACCACCTATCACTGCCTACTACTGATTTTAAAAAAGGCCGAGAGTGATTTTTCATTATAAATACATTTTATACGGTTTGCTCTAACATCTGTGTGGCTTTTAAGATATAAATAATCCCATTGTATTTTATTTAATATTCATGAACAAAATTCTTATATTTATAAATCGACCATTAGATCAGTTTTAAAACCGTTTACTGAACCTTTGTAATTTCTTTTTAGCTTGATTTCTATATGATTTATTCACGATTATATCTAATTTTCTTACCAAATTTTAATTAGTAAAAAATTCGTTTTTTGTTTTTTTGTATAATCAGTTTGATGTTTCATTTTTTTCTATTTAAACGGTTAATAATAAAAAGAATGCATTATTATTAAAGATCGTTATGTTCATATCAAAGATTGGTAATTAAGACATGCATTGTAAATAGCTAGATAAAAAAATGTTAACTTGGTAAATTAATTTTTAGCTGATGTTGGAAGTATATATGCAAACAAATATATGAGCATACATGTTGTGTAGTTTATTCTCTCTATGTGGCCATTTATATGAGAAGTTGGATAAATATTTAATACAAGCAAGCTCAAAACAATATAACGTATTTTAAATTTAAGTAAGAAATATTTCTTAATCGGTAAAATGATGCGCAATTTAAAAATGATTTTTGTAGATTTTTAATTATATAAACAGAATAGTTCAGTCTTTTATACTGCAAAAGCTACATACGTGTGTAAATATTTTGAGACTGGTTGGAACAGTTAAATAAAAATTAAGCGAATTATCTGTTTGTTTCCACAAATTTCCCTTGTCAAAAAATATAAAAGTCTTAATAGAATATGTTTTATCCAACTTTGACCATCATTGAGCTGTGTGATATAAGTACAATTTTAAACAAATTTAATGTTAAATTGAAATAATTCAGCTGTTAGAATTGTAAATATCACAGGGCATCTGGTCTCTAACTGATTTCTTCTTTTATCGAGATCCACATATTGTTTTTGTTTTATTCCAGCCTTCTCTTCTATTGCATTTTTTAATATCAAGACAACCTCAATTTCCAAGTATACAGGAGTAAAAGATTCTTAAATATTCATGGGTATTTCATCTTTGGTAGATCCATTGTACCAATAATTTTAGATCGATTGAAATATGTTTCATGTTTATTCCTTTACCAATATCAGATTATACACACAGTATATTGCTGTTGGTTGGTCTTGTAAAATGTCGAAATGTTTGCGTATTCATTTTTAATTATTTTCTTTTGAAACTTAGCATTTAAGTTGACTTTTAAAAAAAAGCGAGTTTTGCATATCCTCTATTTAAAAAAAAAATTTCTTTACGTCTTGGAGAGAACTGACTTTTATTACCATTGATGGTTGGAAAAGGGGTTGTCCCATATCATATTTGCTTGCAGTTGTATTTTTTTTTTTTTAATATTTAATAATTATTTTAATATAACACGATATATATGTATAATATTATATACTTTATACATTGAAAATGTACAAAAGTTACATAAATTATGTAAATATTCTAAATAAACTTCCATTTTCTTTAAATAATACTCTGTGTAAATATTAATAAAGAAAGAAAGTCTTCTTAAAATTGAACCTCAGTATTAAGGACTGTATAAAGGAAAAAGTGTTGGTTTAGTCGGGGCCATAAGAAAATTTAAAGTTTTCTGGCCTAATATCACATTTCCTATACTTTACTAATATCACCCGATTCAGTGTTTAACTTAGTTCTTAGCCAAAAATTGTACATTATAAATATAAAAGTTGTATAATTGTTGGGTAAGAATAATTTTTAATTAAACAAAAAAATGGGTCTCTGTATTGCATATTTAAATTAATTTTGAGGTTAATATATATTGTATATTTATTCATAATATATATTGAAATTTAAAAAAAACCTATTTGTAAATAAGTGTCAACAAATTTTGTAATATCAATTTGTATTGCTGTTTGTCTCTCCTCCCCCATTTTTCTTTTGTTTTGTTTTTTATTTTTCATTTAAGATTTTGTGATAATTTTGATTTATGAAAAAAATTCTTTAAAGAGAATATTTTCTTTTTAATGGCATTTGAAAATAAGTTCCTGTTAAAATTAAAACCAAAATCTAGTTAACAAAAGGCAAAAAAAGCATATAAAGGAAGTGATTTATTAATAATATAAAAATATATATATATAAATATTATAAATAAAAATGTAGTTTGCTTCTAATAGTCAAATATACAATTGCTGTACATAGTAAGCTTTTAGTGGTGCCTTTTTTTGCTGCATTTTGTCCTTTGATCTCTTATAAGAAAAATGTATAATCCTCCCCTCGTTCAGGGGATTGTAATTGAACTATTTCCTAAACATGATCTACTTAAATTGAACCTCTAAAAATGTCTTGTTGGACGACTTTTAGTTTTTGAGACAATAATTATGTTCAATCCCTAAATTAAAATGTAATTGCAGCCAACTGACAAAAAGTGGAAAATAATAATTGTGTTCTATAACGCTCAAATAATGATCAAACTTTCAATGAACGTAATTATTACTTTTTACTTGGTTAAGGACCTTTTTGTGAATAAGGAAAAAGGACAAATTTTTTTACCTCTTTTTACAAAAGAAAAAACAACAAAATATTAGTGTAAAACTATATAATGTGTATTGTAATTTTAAAAAATGTACTTGGCTGCAGGGTTTTGTACTATACTTAACCAATAAAAAAAAAGAATATTAAAAGTTAAGATTTGTATTCTCATTATGTCAATGTGTACATTTATTGAATAAAAATAAAATACATTTAAAATTGTTTTATTTTTTTTATTAGTTATTACCTTTTTCTTTATCAAATTTCATCAGTTATGCTTAAAATGTTTGAAAAAGTCTTGTTTGTACTTCAGCATCTTGGTCTGAATAATGAACAAAAGACCTAGGACGAAACAAAATGGAGGCAAAGCCTCAACTTCTTGACTTAACTACACCAGTCAAGCCCACTGATGATTTATATAAAAAAATATAAAAGGAGGCCTTTTTTTTTTTAAATCATGTTCTTCATTACATTTTTAGTGGTTGGATGGTCATTAAATTTGTAGGTTATGTGTAAAAGAATTAGATGATAGATATATTAGGGTGTATGTTTTACTGTGCCATTTAAGAGCTATTGTATTCCCATTTCTGTGCTTAAAGCACACAGGTAAGTCCTAGTTCATCAAGGAAACATTGGAAAGTTCTTTCTAATGTTACATTTTTAAGTTTCAAATGTGGTTGATTGATGGTTTTAAGTGATACAGATTCGGGAAGATGGAAGAGGTCAAGTGTATGTAGCCACCTAGGTGCTTATCATCCTCAGAACAACTGCCCAAAGGGTCTTCCATCGCTACCAAGATATTGGAGGTTACTCAAGAAGGCATGGTGATATCAGGTCACCATTGGGTCACATCTCAAAGATGATCATCTTATTGTTTCAATTGCACTCCATAATCAACATACCTCTGTTGAGATAAACCAATGACTTCGACTAGTTAGAAATGTTAGTTTATGCAAATGTAAGGAGAAGACTTCCAGAAGCTGGATTAGGTGTGAGAAGGTCCAGAACTTCTGGCAAGGCACAAAACAGTTCGGTAAAGTTTCACAAGAACTTTTGTTTTCGGATGAATCAAGGTTTTGTTTGAGGTCTGACTGCTGGAGAACAGGAGTCTGAAACAGGAGAGCGACATATCCCTGAAAATTTTCACTCTGGAGAAGTTTTGGAGTGGTGGTGTTACGATTTGGGCAGGTATTTCTTTGGAAGGTCACACAAACTTGATTTCATCGAGAGTTCTCTAACAGAAGCACAATACATTGAAGATGTTTATCAGAAGTGGTTCTTATATGCCACTAATTGGGATTGTTTTATTACAATGCAAGGCCCTACACCACTTGGACGGTGGTAGTTGACTTGGTGACTACTTGGAACGGGCTTCAATTCAAATTTGGAATGGTCGACATTTAGTCCCAACTCAACGTCAATCGGACGAGTTGTCAAAGGTTGTAAAATGTCTGCCCAGTGATGCCAGAGAATTTGCAGGATTAAGATGTCGAATGTAAGCGGTGATCTATGCAAAAGGAGGAAATACTCTGTACTGAATTGAATATTTTCTTCATTCATCATCCATAGCAACATTTTTAGTAAAATTGTTGTACCGTTGTAAAATTTACAATTGTTTTAAACCAAAAAATAAAAATTATGATTGCAAGTATTTACGAGGGTGGCCACTTTTCTTTGCCACTCAGTGTATTTTGAGGCACTGGTCTTGAGGGTTCTCAATTGCCAACTTTACCGGAACATGCAATTCCAATAAGGTTAAGCTTTTTTAAATAAATACAGTGAAGATGAATAATCAAAATACACCAAGCTGATGATGTTGAATGTGCTTATTTTGAAACCCATAAGGGTAGACCATTGGGATCTATTTATTGATATATTATTTTAATATGTGATATTACAAAGTGAAAATTCATAATGTCTTATTCATCCTAGGACAAATGGTCAATAACCTTAAAGTGTAAAACAAAAAACAAAAGTAGAATTTTCAAACATTTAATAAAGATCACAATAGTAAGTACAACAAAGAAAGTACAGCTAAAAAGACTTAGGTAATATATAATACCATAAGACATGAGTAATATAATTTTAAACTCTGATGCAGATGTTTACAAAAAAAATCCTTTATTTATCAAAATTAGGTACATATTGTCTCTAAAAATAACAACGGTTAAAAAAGAGTTGTGTAATAAATTTCCAATGCAGTGTATAATTGAAATGATTGTCCCAGTTGATTATCTTTAAAAAAAAATGTTAGACCAATAAAATCAATTAAATCGCAAAAACTATCACATGTTGCTGAATACTTTTTATTAAGATAGAAAAATGTTATATAAGCCGCAAGAAACATTGAACCAGTGGTATCTCTTCCTTTCTTTATCTTATCCTTTTATCAAATATCTGGCTGCATAAATCTGTTAATGTCCGTCAAAGAAGGGAGATGTGATGCAGTTTATATTTTATTATATTTTGTATATTCTTTATTTTGAAATTATTGACGTTGAAAAAGATAACCAAGTACATCCCTCGTCGAACAAATCTAGCAAATTTTTTCCAGAAAGTATGAAGAATGTTGATCATTAAATGAATAATGGATTTTGGCATTTAGATTTCTTCAGAAGATGGCGAAATGCGTCAAATAACGAAAGTAGGCGGGTGATTTAAATTTTTAAATGAACAGACGACCGTAGAAGTTAAGATTCAATCGTGCTATACTTTAAATTAAAATAAAAGGATTTGCTTGAAGGGAATAGAGGCAGAAGAAGAATGGTTCTTATTCCTGGTTTCTTAAAACGAGGGTCTAGAACTAGAATTATACAGGGTGATTCGTTCGTACAATAAAGTTCGCCAGGTGCTTCTACACCTCAAATGCAACAAAAAAATTCGTATGAACATGGCCAGATTCTCAACCTTTCGCAGATATTCAACTTTTTTCAACTATCTACAGTTTTCGTCGTAACTATTGAACAATTCTATTTTAGGGAAATAAAAAAAAGCAATAAAAGATCGTTCGTTAAATTTAGGCTTCCTTCTAGAACTTTCCATTTAATTTTTGATTAAAAAAAACACTAAATCTTTCAAAAACTGTTAAATTTACAACCTCATTGGACAAAATTCACGGTAGAGCTTGAAAAATTTCATTACAACTTAAGCCTTCTAGCGGTATACCCTTTTCTTCCATTACATGGAACCCGAAATTTTAAGCTAAATAGGAAAAAAGAGTGTCGGTGTGAATAAGTGGAAATGGGGTTAATGTAGTAATTCAGTTTTTTGTCCTGGGCAAAATTTATTTCCCAACTTGAACATAGTAAAATAGCTCAAAAAGAAATAAAAAATTAATCAACATAAAGAGACAATATACATAGCGAACAACCAAAGCAAAAAAATTGAACGACATATCTACATTAAAGACAACAAAAGAAGAAAAAAAACAATACAGACTTTTTTAAGTACGCGCGAAAAAACCCTTGTTAAAAACCCTTATGAAAATTAAATATGTGAGCCATCCCTAAAAAAAGAACAAAAAAAGATAACTTGAACGTAACTTGGTTTTTCACTATATTCATATCTCTTTTGTTTACGTTGAATTTTTCTTTGTTGTAGAATAGCATAGAGTAGTGAATAACCCTGTATAAAGTCAAAGCAAACAGAAAGCGCTACAATTTAAGTGACAATTGGTTTCTTCGAAAAATCTCCGTTCTTGACTTTATT